AAATAAAACCGTGAGAAAGGTGAAACTGTTATTACTTCATCTGACTGCAGTCACGAGATTAATCTTTAGTTTGTTGTTTTAAATGAAGCGTGAAGGTTTCCTGTCAAATCGTTTTTTTAAAGGCTACACGATCTTTAACTGACTCAGTATGCTGGTTGTAAATAAATAAATTGTAGTTCTTGTTCCTAATAATCCACGTCCTCGTGGGATTCACAAACGCCTTATTTCTTAACTCCCAGGCCAACTTCTCAACTTTAGAAAGTTTCACATTATGGTATTTTAAATCTGACTGAAACAGGGTTCGAATGTTTTAAGGCCTCGCTCTTTCCGAAAGAACTGATGAAATTCAAGCTACGACACAAGAAAATAGCAAAGGAGAAGAAACAATGTGACTTTTCACCGGGTTAACTAAATTACACCCCGCGTGAAATTTCGAGGATTTCTCGTTATTTAAATACTAAAGATAACAAACAACCAGTACTCATTACAAACGAAGAGAAAACGTGGCATTCGTTTCAGTCTCGAGATTACCGGAGAGGTTTCCGTCACGTGTTACATTAAAGGTGCCGCGCGCCCGTCGAGAAAAATATCGGTGAAATAAAAACGCTTACTTCTGGTTAAAATGTGAAGTCTCGCGTGCAGGAAAACTGGATGCTGTCTGTCCAAGCAACAGTACACGAGTATAAGTAGTCGAGTGTTGGATTGTATAAATGTGACCCCTCCTATAAGTGCGCCCCACCCCTTACTGCAAAAGAGGCTGAGCCTAGTACAGAAATCTTCTGTTTACTCTAAACCTTTCTTTCTCATTTCAATGGCCTAAAACAGATCTAATAGTTTATAATGGTTAACAGATATTGTCAACAACAATACAAGCATCACATTTTAAAGGTGCACTCAGTATTTTTTATAATTGGAAAGGTTTTTACACAAAGGAGTGAACAGCTTTTTTTAATTAGGCTGTGTACAATATCATCGTACAATCTCTATGTAGGTATGTGTAGGTCGCCTTGTCATGAACGCGCCATGTTGACATCACAAGACTATAATGGTCAAGTTATAAATAATAATAATTATTATAAATTATATATTCATAATTATATAAATAATACTTTATAATAATAAATATAATATATTTATAATACACTTATCCATATAATGTATTTTATATATATATATATATATATATATATATATATATTAGTTTATCTAATGGACATTATATGGATGAGTATATTATCAGTAAACAAATGTAATGTTTTCGCACCAATAGGTGTCAGTATTAAAGGGTTATTTCACCCAAAAATGAAAATTAGCCTGTGTTTTACTCACCCTCGAAGTATCCTGGGGGTATGTGACTTTTTTCTTTCAGACGAATCCAATTGGAGTTATATTAAAAATGGTCCTGGCCCCTCCAAGCCTTACAATGGGGGTAAGCGGGTGTTCGGTTGTCAACAGTTCAGAAGACGTGAAATACAGTGCGTGCATCCATAATAAAACGTCCCTCACAAGGCTCCGGGGAGTGAATAAAGGCCTCCTGTAGCGAATCCATGCGTTTTTGTAAGATAAATATATCCATATTTCAAACGTAATAAACATTTTTCTCTCACTTCCGGTATTCTGTCATACGCGGCAGCCGTTCCGGCGGATGACGTAGGACGTCGGCTTTTGCGTGATTAGTGATGAGCGCAAAGAGAGAGCAAAACAAATCGCCGAATTAGAAGCACAAAATGAGGATTTTGATATAAGCCAAGAGACTGGTTTTCCTTTGTTAAAGTAAGGAAACTTTGCTTCCTTTGCTCCTGCATTTCTCAGAGGCACGCACACGACGTCCTACGTCATCCGTCTGCATGTTTTCCGCATACCACAGTCAGCGGAAGTGAGAAAAAAGTGTTTATTACGTTTGAAATATGGATATTTATCTTACAAAAATGCATGGATTCGCTACAGGAGGCTTTTATTCACCCCCCGGAGCCGTGTGAGGGACGTTTTATTATGGATGCGCGCACTTTATTTCACGTCTTCTGAACTGTTGACAACCAACACCCGCTTACCCCCATTGTAAGGCTTGGAGGGGCCAGGACCATTTTTAATATAACTCCAATTGGATTCGTCTGAAAGAAGAAAGTCACATAGGCTCAGGGTTTCTGCAGACATGAACAAGTTAAATTTAAGAATTTTTAAGACCTTTTTAATACCATCTTATATGAAACTTAAGACCTAAACGTGTAATGGAAATACACATTTTATTACATACATATATGTAATATTTAATGTGTTTAAATTAAAAAGAAAACTAAATATCATTGCAGTAATAAATTATATTTATTACTACGATATACAGTGAACTTTTAATGTCAGCAGACAATATTCCATACAAAATATCCCTGCAAAATAACTGCATCACTGAGATTTTTGGTGGAGTAAACAATTTATTCTGAAGCAATATTTTCATCAGTGTTCTATCAGCTTTTACATACTTAAATCTGCATATTTTTATTTACCTTTACAAAGGCCTATTTGTAACCAAATTATTACAATTGATCAAATTCAATATACACTATAGGGCTGCTGCCAGTCAGATTAAATAATTTACACTGCAAATAACAATAATTACAACTGCAATAAATAATGTTATGAGATTAATGTTTTAAATGCATTTATGAATATACAAATAAGAAATGTTGAGGGGAAAAATGCATACTTTTCAACATATTTCTCAACTAAGTCACTTGATGAGTGAGTCATTGAGTCATTCATTCAACTGACTGAGTGTGTTATCATGCTGGTAAAAACGCTGTCATGTTGCTCAAAGATGCAAAACAGCGCTGTGGCTTTGTTTGGAATAATTTTTGTTGGCGAAATAGTGCAAAAACAGGCAATAGGGTGTCTAAAATGCAAGTCTCTTAATAAAACAGTAAAGTCTATTTGTACATGGTAATTTTTGGGGAAAAAAGGCATGCTTCCATGTGAAATTGAGAAACTATAAGAAGTGGTATAAATATTCACATTGTCTGCCCCCATGTCTTGAATTTGTGATCATTCTGAATGTATTTTAATAGACTGAATCATGCAGTGAAAGAAGGCACTGTAAATGCGCACACGCACTAGACTTCACGTAATGCGTGCACTCTGTAGGTGTTTTGAATGTTTGTTTGTTTTTTGCGTCGTGAGAATATTGAGCAAAATAGCTCACTTGTCATGGTGTTACTTATCATGTTATGAATAAACTAAACATTGTGAATTTTTAGCTCAGTGTGTTTCTTCTGAGTTTATGTGTGCTGTCACGCTCATTTGTTCTGAAGTCTCTCACTAAGAGACAAACAGAGAGAGCCTTGTATTCTATATTCTGCTAACTTACTGCAATTCTCTCTGAAGACGCAGTAACTTACCGCGGGGAAGAAAAAATATTCGGTCTGTCCAATGATTGTAAAGTCATTAGGTCCGTCAGACTGAAGATATTTTAGCATAATGTGACCAAAAATATTTAAGACCCATCGAATCCGAATTTAAGACATTTTAAGACTTTTAAAGGCCTTATATTAGGAAAACGTTATTTAAGACATTTTAAGACTTTTTAAGGACCCGCGGACACCCTGAGGCTACACCTAGGATGCTTCGAGGGTGATTAAAACAAAGGCTAATTTTCATTTTTGGGTGAACTAACCCTTTAAGTCTAAAACCACTGAGACAACATAAATAAAGATGTCTCAAAGTTCATATTTTAATTTTCATTTGACATCATATGACTATGAGATCATATATAAAACCCTAACCAGTCCATATCACTAATAAATGTTTTAAGGCGTAATGCTGTTTGTTATAGTAATTAATATGAGATCATTTTATTACAGTCTTGCAAATATAATTTGACATATTGAAGATGCCAGCAAAGATTAGAAACTATTTAGCTTCATCTTTCCCGTTACACATTCACGCCCAGTGTGATATAATTTATTGCAGCATTGTCATGGCCTGATAAAATAATTTTAATAGACCACAGGTCTATATAAATAAAAAAATTAAAATAAAATTGACCACAATCATTTAAAGGAAGTCAACCTTGTGCAGTCATGGAAAAGGGAATTCTGGATTAAATTTAATCAGAGCCATTCTGAAATTTTACAAAACAAACGTAAAAGACTTTTAGATTTAAGTATTTTTCTCAGTTAAGCTCAGGATGATTTAAACATAATGATTGCATGACAGTCATGCTGATGACATCATCAGCAATGATGCAATTTTAATTCCAGTTAAATTCCACTAATATCTGCACAAGTTCCCTTTTAAGGTCCATTTTGTAACTTTTTTCCTGTTTTTAAATGTAAAAGGGGGGCGGGGTGATCTCATTTTATGTTGAAGCCTGATTAATGATTACTAAAAAAGATATTGCTCTGCAAAGTTGAAAAAAATAGTTCAATAATGAAAAATAAAAAATAACCAATTTATTGTTTTGTTTTTTGAAGTTGCATTCAAAATCTGAGGACAAATGTGCAATTCTAATGGGCATGACACTGTTTATTTAGCCCATAACATTACTTTATTTATCCAAGTAAAAAAGGGAGAGCATTATACGTTTTATCAGCCAAAGAATGACATGAATGTATTTTCAAAAACAGGTTCTTCTGCATTATATTACTGTGGTAACAGCAACATAGGTGTGTTTTGAACATCCTGCTTGTACTTCATGTTTATGGTCTAACACTCACCTCACAAAATATGACAAAAGCCACCAGTATTCCGTACATATTTAGGATAAAACTGATTCAATGATCACAACACTGGTCTTCGTCTACTATACAACATCAACATATGAATAGTCAACTGCAAGCTATACTAAATTTAAGAGTTACTACTTTTCTTTCATTCTTATCCACATGCTTTTTCAATTACAATAACATTTGGGCAAAAACAAAAGTGATAAATTAATGAATCCTTGAAAAACACCAGAGTTTAACAATGTGATGTCAAAAGAAAATACAAGAGAAATATTTACTTGGTACATCAGTTTTATTGCATGTTACAGATGCATTTGAATCATTATATTGGCAGCCAGAGAGTATTCAAATACGAAAGGTGGGTGGCAATACAGCACAGCAATACAAAGACATTATCTGCATATTATAAAAGCACACATAGTGAGCACAGTCAGTAGGACGTCTCTGACCCAAGCGCAGTTAGGGAACCTGAACTTCCGATCTTCTTAAACCTATTGGCTGCAGCAACAGCTATGTAGTTTTTCTGCACAAAGCAGACAGGTGAAAGAGGATAAAGGAGAAATGAAGTGAGTAAGAAAGCATTTAGTATCTTGTGTTAAGAAAGTTGTGTTAAGAAAGTTTCACCTTCCACATTCGTCTGGCCATATACTTCTTGAGAAGAGCCTGAGACTTGAGCACAATGTTGGTGCTCTTGGCTTTCTCAGTGATGTTGTTAAGCCACGGGTGTTTGAGACACTGTGTAGCACTCAGACGACCACTGTAAAAAAAAAAATGAAAAAAAGAGAGAGAGAAATCTTTTGAAACCTTGGAATAAACACCAAAAGTTGTATGAAGTACTTTGGTTGTGTTTTTATAGTGTTTTGCATCTTTTTTTGGAGCTTGACTGCCAATAGTCGTGCTAAGCTTTCATTGTATAGATATGTGCAGCTCAGACATTCTGTTAAGCATCTTCTTTTGTGTTACACAGAACATTCTTAAAGGGGTCCTATTATGCTCTTTTACAAAGTCTTGATTTTGTTTTGGGGGTGTACTAGAATGAACTTCAGTGTAAATATTGCATCAAAATCAAATCAATTTGAGCGTGATTTAAACCCGGATGATTGTAACCGCTCTAAGTTCGTCTGCCTTGGGAAAGCTAGCGTGTCTCCGACATAGTGATAACACTCGTTGCCTTCTCTAGTGCAGCTCAACCAGGTCTCGTCCCATTCGTCAGTATTTGTGATATCACAAATCCCGGAAAATATGCGTTGTAGTCCAAACGAGTCATTCGTTGTAGTTTTTGAAAAGTGATTTCTGTTCAATAAAATATCTCCTTTTGAATTGGACTTTGCAGATCTTTTTTATGCTCAAACAGCAACCTTACAGACCAACTAAAGTTGAAAAAGTGAAAAAGCACAATAGGACCCCTTTTTAAAGGAATAGCTGACCCAAAATTTTGCTGAAACTTTAGTGCATCCAAGATGTAGATGAGTTTCTTCCTCAAGAAAAGATTTGGAGAAATTTAGCATTACATACAAATTTAGCTCACCAATGGTTCATATAGAGTGGTCTGAAGTTTTGTGATGTTTTTATCAACTGTTCAGACTCTCATTCTGACAGCAACCATTCACTGCAGAAGGTCAATTGGTGAGGTGAGCAAGTGATGAAATGCTAAATTTCTCCAAATCTGTTCTGATGAAGAAACAAACTCATCTACATCTTGGATGGCCTGAGGTCAAAATTTAAGCAAGTTTAAATTTTTGGGTCAACTATTCCTTTACATGGTTTTGGAGTGTCAAAAGAAATTTTTGATAAATTATCATATTAAGATGTAATTAGTATTAGTCTCTTGAACTTTTCATTCTCACCTTCTTTCTCTGATCAACAGGTTGGAAACGAAGTCCCGAGCCTCAGCAGACACGTGCTCAAATGCATCCTCATCAAAGTACCTACACTCATCCAACAGGGGACGTTGTTTTACAAAAGATTTCACTTTTAAAACGTTCTTTAGAGCTGTTTGTAGATTTTATGATTTCTAAATAGATGTTTCAGTGCTTGTTTGTAATTAGTTCATGTTCTGTTGTGTATAGAATTGATATAACAGTGGCCTACCAGTTGCCCATAAGCACATTGTTGAGGGTCTGGCTGTCGTCGTCACCCAGAAAAGGAGAGAGGCCACTTAAGCTAGAACAACAGAAATCGAATGAGATTTTAATTGTTTCTCCAGTTCAACACCTAACATGAAGCAAACAGGGTTGCACAAGTTTCTTTTTCTGTTTTGGAGGCGACCCAGAATACTCTATAACACTGGTATTGCTTTAATTAGACTAAGCAGTTGACCGAGTGACCCTGGATGCTGTTTAACTGCCTTGTTTGATGTTTTTGGATTCACTCCCAGTACCTTCACTGGACATCACAACTGTTAGCCAATAACTCATTTGTATGAAATCACTTATTTTAAAAAATATATAAATAACTGAATTTGTTATCAAGTCCTGCTTATGTATCTTTTGGAGTGGTACAGCAGATTTTAAATTAAATTATAAAAATTTGTTCAGATGATTATGTAATTGTGAATTACATGTTCTGGTGTGTGTTAATGTGATTTACAGCATGTATGTGACAACTCCCAACGTCCACATATCTGTAGGGAAGGAGACAAAATCGAAGTTCACCACCTCCGGAGCTAAAAATTCAGGCGTTCCGAATGAAACTTTGAGCTTCTCTCGTGGTGCACATTGTTGAGGGTCTGGCTGTCGTCATCACCCAGAAAAGGAGAGAGGCCACTTAAGCTAGAACAACAGAAATCGAATGAGATTTTAATTGTTTCTCCAGTTCAACACCTAACATGAAGCAAACAGGGTTGCACAAGTTTCTTTTTCTGTTTTTCTGTACCCAGAATACTCTATAACACTGGTATTGCTTTAATTAGACTAAGCAGTTGACCGAGTGACCCTGGATGCTGTTTAACTGCCTTGTTTGATGTTTTTGGATTCACTCCCAGTACCTTCACTGGACATCACAACTGTTAGCCAATAACTCATTTGTATGAAATCACTTATTTTAAAAAAATATAAATAACTGAATTTGTTATCAAGTCCTGCTTATGTATCTTTTGGAGTGGTACAGCAGATTTTAAATTCAATTATAAAAATTTGTTCAGATGATTATGTAATTGTGAATTACATGTAAATATCCAACTTGTTTTGTATGTCTCAAATAACTTCTAGTTTATTATGGTACTGTTTTGTTGGTAATAAAAACAAACTGTGGTAGCAGAGCACTAGTTTGACAGCAACATGTATGTTAATGGCACTTCTATTTAAAGTGCAGATGCTTTCAGTTATATTTGTGAAGTATTAAACATGCACACAGATCTGATCTACTTACCCTTTCTCTGGCATTTCTTGTGTTGATGATTTTAGCAGCAAGTCTCATCCCTGTCTTAGTCTCCGTACATTTGTGCACTTTGCCAAAGCGACCACTGATGATACAGATATTTAATACGGTGGCAAAAAATGTCAAAGGTGCTAAATAAATAATTGTAAATGATAAATAATTGATTCAAGTGAAATAAATGCTAACAGTTACAGTAAGCAGAAATGATCATCTCACCCTCCCAGCACTTCTCTGGTGTGGATACTGAAGGTATCACTGGGTGGAGGGTTAGACTTCAGCGACACAAACCGGTGATTGAAAAGCGCGGGCTGAGGTGAAACATCATCTGAAAAGAGCCAGGAGGACACTTTTTACAAGTCTTTTTCAGACAAGTGGGAATCTTGGGTCAGCCATCACTATGAGACATTCATGGTGTTGATATCTGATCTATAATGCTCTTCATGTTGGGTTGGAGTGGGAACAGCTGCGGGAGAGTGGATGATACAATAATGTGCCATAGACAAAGGATTATCATACTCTAGATACTTCAGATTTCTAAGGTCAGGCTATACTAGAGGCCTCCTGTCACCTCTTTAACCTTTGAAAACAAATTCACACAAGCACTGTGCCTCACTGTCATTCGGTGGTTATTTTATTCTCTTCTGAAAACAATTTACTGAAATTGTCAATTACACTTGAACTTGATTTCCTTTGAAATTATCTATATATTTTTTAATTCGTTTTTATTTTATTATGAACATAGAACAAATTAAAAAAACGTACCAATAACTTTAAAACATGTCTTAGGAGGGTTATTGTTCTTCGTTTGTACTGGATTCTTGTCTGTAGCTGGAGTTATTTTAATCTGTATTCCACCTGAAACATGGTTTGCGGCTATGGCTGCTTCGGTCCCTTTATTAGCCAGAGGTGTTGATATTGTGTGGACCAAATCTGCCTTTCCACCAGTGACCTGTAATCTATATAAGATGAAAAACTTTGCTATTTATAAATCTATATACACACACACACACACACACACACACGTTAAAAAGTAAAGGTTAACTTTTTATGTTTTTAAAATCACTTATGCTCACAGAGGCTGCATTTATTTGATCAAAAACAGTATATTTTATCTAATTCACTGACATTTGTCACTTTCTGCTTCAATCAACTCAATCACTGCTCCAACAGTGATAAATTGCAGTTTAAATTGGGAGACAAACAATGCATCCATTGCTTGTTTTACCTCTGTAAGGAATTAGGGCAGCTCTGCACTTGTCTGAGCACGAAAGCCTCTTTGGTGGCTGTAGTAACATTCAGACCCATTGATTTTGGTGGTTTGTGGCTTGGTGGTAACAATGTTGCATCTTGTGATGTTGTCATTTTTGTTGTAGGTGTATTTACTGATGACTGTCCAGAACTCTGCACAGTTGCTACAGGAAGAAATGTTTGGATCGGTGTTGAATCTGGTAAAGTCAGCTTGGGAGGATTGTTGGGTACCAATGGAGCTGTACATTGAGGCATTGCTGGAACAACCAGTTCAGCTGTTTTCGGTACGGTACGATTTGGTAGGGTTACATTCACTGCTTCAGTATGCTTCAGTCCGATTGTGTTGGGCAAAACCCCAGTCGTTGTCACAGGAACAGGTGCTTTGGTGTTTAGCTGTGACGTTTTCCTGTCATCTTGGGCTTCCTTCTTAGGTGGAGCAATAACAATCCTCTGGGTCACCATTGATGCAGCAATGACGGATTTCAGGACATCATTCTCGTTTGGTGGCATGTTCTTATTTTCAACCTTATTCATTTTCTGTGTTTGATGTTGAGATAGATCCGATCTTGGGCTTACAGTGGATGTTCCTCTTTCTCCCTTGATCTGCAATTTAGGTTCATGTTGAACTTTAACCTCTGTTGAATCTTTTTTAGGTTGATGGTCCTCTGTTCTCGTTCCGTTGTTTTCATTGATTTCTAGCAAAATACCTGCACAAACAAAAGAAACTGAAGTCTTTTTTTTTGTGAAATATCCCCAATAAATATGTATAAATGTAAGTTGTACTATACATACTTTCAATTTGTAAGCCTAACATTCATAGCAAATATTTGAAAATATTTTAATCCATTTAATCCATTTAAGTCATTGTTTTTGTATAACCTTTTATTTACTGTTGGTTCTTTAGTCAGGTGATTTGTGGGTCTTCCTGTCATTCTGCAGTGCATAATTAACATGCTAACAGACCCGTCATTCAGATTTATGTCCGTCAAAAATGACTACTGTTGCCCCACTTCACCTTTCCAAATGATATATACAGTATAGTGTAATTCCATTTTATTGTAGTTACCTTTCTCCGAAGGCATATTAAAGACATGTGGCACCATACAGTCTCTGTCCAAGCGAACATAGATTTCCTCCTGTCAATAAAGAGTGATAGAGGACATTTTTTTTACAAACAAGTATAAAATACATGGACAAGGGTTCAGACGAAGAACGATAAATGTGACAATTACTGCTTTATTGTCAACAATAATGGATGATTATGTTCTGTTTATTATATGTATGTACATCAGTTTTGCTGTTTGCTGCTTTAAATGCTCAAACGCTTTAAAATGGAATGGATTCTGATTGGCTGTCGATGTTTTTTCATTCATCAGCTGGGAAAAAAAATCATTCTGAAAGTAATTCAAATGATATTGTCCTTCTGTGTCATTATCGTCATAGTTGTGGTGTGAACTTTCCCATTCTCATAATTTTTTTTAAAATACAGTTATCGTCCTTGGTGTTAATGGGTCTTAAATGTGATTTATGCCATGTTGATTAATGCAATGACTGTTTGCTATAGTCTTAAGAGTTAATGGAACCGTTTATAAGTAATTCTGGCTGATGGCCTTCTTTCCACTGACCGCAGAGGTTCGAACAGGCAGTGATTTCCGTCTCTGTAGAGCCGCTAATGGCACAGACACTCTCTCACACTGTCTGTCCTCCAGACCTTTCATATTCAAGAGACAGAATAGAAAATTTTTTAGACACCAACTTAGTTCCAAACCTGTATGACACCTCTTTTTTTCCTGTGGAACACAAAAGAAGATATTTTGAAGAATGTTGGTAACTAAACAATTTTGGTTCCCTTTGACAAAAAAATACTTGGAAGTCAATAGGAACCCATACTGTTTGGTTGTTAACGTTCTTCAAAATATTTGTGCTCAGCAGGAGAAAAAAAAAAGTTTGGAACAACGCGAGTAAAAAATGATGACAGATTTTTCAGAATTTTGGTTGGACTATCTCCTTAAAACAGTTTAAAATATCTGATTGTCACTGCATTCTGGCTACGTACCACGCGCCAGGTCCTCCAGAGCTGTTCTCATCTCCAAGACTTTCTTTTCAAGAGAATCCAACAATCTGGTCTGAGCTGACAGCTGGCTGGTCACGGTCTCATGCAGTGTGCTGTGCTGAATGCAGGTCCCACACATGGGGCAACTTCTCTCTGGGCTCAAAAGGAGCTGCTCCACTTTAAACCGTAAGTCATCAACCTTGGCCTCCAGGGTTGTGGGGCTGGACGGAGGCACAGGGAATTTCATAGAGCCCTTGAAAGACATTGAAGTAAGGCTGTGCTAGAGAGATGGGGAATAAATAGAGGTATTGAAGACAAGGTCTTTTTTAGGTCAAAATTACTATTAGGCCAATAGATTTGCACACACAGTGAACGTCATTGTTATTACTTCCAAGTTTTTAATAGAAATCCTGCTGAAATAAATCCACTTAAACCAGACTAAGTTGGTTTGCTGGTCTTAGGTTTAAGATGGTCTCCCAGCATAACCAGCTGAAAAGAACCCAAATTATCCCCATTAAAAAAAATAGATAAATAGATCCAATTAAGACTGGTTAAACATTTTATTTTATTTTATTCCCAAAATAAAACACAGGTAGACAAAGTTTTGCACGCACAGCTGTCAAATAACAAGGACCTTTAAACTTTTATTTAACGTTAAATTAATACAATTAACTATGTAATTAATAACCAAGTTAACAATATTACAATTAAATAGATGACATTAAATTACTAGTATTACAATTATTGAAAACCCTAATATTGATATATTTTTAGCTGTACCGTTTTTCAAATTCATAGCTTTTTTCATTTAAGGTGCATGCAGTATGACAAATGATCTTTCTAAAAGTAGAAATATCCCATACGTTTTCTGTAACTACTGATATACACATACAGTAAGTCCAAAAAGTGGAAAAGTACTGTATGAAATAAAGCATAGCTATTCTCCAGCATAACTGAAAGCTTCATCTTAATAATGTCTTCAGATTCAACTCCAAATAAGATATTTTACAATAAATTCTCAAAAAACTTCACACCCACCTGTAAAGATGTTTGACCAGTTCAGTTTAAGTACATGTGTTTTCCGCCACGGGTTTGAACAGACTGTTCTCTGGTGTTTTGTGGAAGCTCACAGAGTACCAGTCTGTCAGATTCCTCTTTTATCACTCCGTGACCACCTCACCAGAAATAGGCAGGCCAGAGATGGGGGCTCACAAACAGTAAACTGATAATAGAGGCACGCAGAGCTGGCCCTGGGGAGGGGGCACAAAGTCTTTCCAAGACAAAAAGAGTAGAGACAGCAAAGCATGAGCTTAACGAATGTGAGACACGTACCTCTAGTGTTCAACCATGCACTGCTGACAGTCATGCAGCTTTAATGGAATACAATTTCTGCCCTTTACTTAACTTATATAGTTTTAATGTTTATTGTAAAATTTACATTGTAAAATTAAATATTTATATTACATTTAATGTAATTTCACAGAAAAATACTGTTAAAAATACAGTTTTTGGAAGTGAAAAAGAAAAAGTCATTGTATAATTAACAGTGAAAAACTGCAAATTGACACTCCCAGAATTCCCTGCATGACACTTAATATTTGATGTTTTTGTTGTTGAAATAACATCTTCTTAGTTTTTTCTTATCAGTTGTGTACATTAGGGTTTAATCTTACATCTAATGTTGTTAAATTAATGTTTATTGCATTATTTCAGTATTGTGTGTGTCACCATGATGGGGTTTAGTGTTTGTGTGAATGAGACTGTGTGCACCTTCTATATATGAGTATTGCCCTCCTCAGGTTGAAAAGCTGTTTGTGATGAGCTTTGGTTCATAATGTGTCTTTCTCATCACCACCAGTTTTTGGTGGTTATCAGTTCATTACAATGGTTCAAAACAGATATTAACACTTAAAATATGTTGGTTTATTAACATTACATCAGTTAATGAAATACGGTATTTTATTGTGAATTTAAGTAAAGTCTGTAAAACCTAAAATGTTGCTACCATATTTTTTTACAGTGAAGTTCTGGCAACCACAGCTGCCGGTATTTTACTGTAAATGTCACAGATTTTTTTCTACAGTGTAGGAGTAGGCCATATGACCAAAATCTTATTTCACGGTATGAGACATTTTATTTCACAATAAAGATATATACCTCGTTATAGCTATTTTAATTTGATTTATTAAATTTAAGAAAAAGCAAACTACAAGCACAACAGAACAAACAAATATGAAATAACTTCATTTATTTAGCTACAGTAGGCTAGGTTTATTTAACATGTAGTAAGAAATATTACAATAATTTAATTAAAGTGTATAAATAAAACACTGCATAGTCTTCAAAAATGTGTAGTGCAACACTAATTGGAAAGATTACAAAAACCACCTGCCACAACATACCCAAGATGGAGCGATTCTCCTTTTTCGGTACAAATGGTTCTTTGTGCATTACATTGTTTGGTCGTGCCTTAAAACATGCGGCTTCAGCCTGTCGTTTCAACTCCTCTTTCATCTGGAGAAACATTTTAAATGGAATGAACCAGTTACAACAGAGATTGTAAACAATGTCACAAATGCAGAGACTCAGATTTAAAAGGGAGTTCCACTGGCTAGCTAGTTGCAAGTATGCAAACACAAACGCCAAGCCAGCACACTGGACATGTGTGGTCCAGTAGAACGTAATTTTAACAACAGATGATCCATGGAAGATGAAGAGGAAAGGCTCAGATGAAGATCTTACCATCAGCTCCCAGCGGTCACCCTTTGCCGCTCCTCGTTCGTCAACCATCAGCTTGAAAGGAGCAGGTTTGGTGGGCTCTACTACCTTTTTCTCAGGGAGGTGCACTTCATGGAAGTCAGGAAGGGGTTGGGCCTTGAACTTGGGTAGCTGTGAGATTTGGTGAGACAGTCCATTTAGCCACCATTATGAAATGAAGATCAATAAGACTTTCAGCTACACCATAAAGAAAATACCTCTTCATTTCTCATTTCATCCAGTTTCTTCTCCTTCATGACCCTTCGTTCACGCTCACGTTCCTCAAATGAGAAAGGGCACATTTCTACCTGGCTCTTGACTGGCAGTTTGGGCTGGAAGGGCAGGAAGTGGGGCACAGCATGTGCCTTAATTGGAGCAGGAGGCTTCTCCTGAAGGTGCAATGGAATTAGTTGAGTCAACAAATATCATTTTTATAATATTTAAAAAAATAAAAAAAGCACAGGATTAAAATGTACCTCTTCTTTTTTCTTTTCCATTCGCACACGGTTTTTAAGAGCAAATGCAGGTGATTCTGGAACAGTTGGATTTAGAACTTTCTTCTCTGGGACACCCTTTACGGTGAAAAAAGGAACAATGGAATTATAAAAAGGACATCACGACCTCGACTAAACAAACCCAAAAAAGGGGTTGAGAGAATGGTTACTAACCACAACTTCTTCCAGAATTCGAGTTGGTAGCGGTCTGGGATGGAATGTGTGGTCCTCTTTTTCCTCAGGCTTCCTACTGGCCTGCCGCTCCTGAAGTCGCTTCTCAATCTCCAGCTGGAAGCCCTCAGGCTTGGTAACTTCTTTCCTACCTGGCTTTTTAGGAACCAAAGCCCCTTCTAGAATCTTCCTGTTGAGTTCTAGAGCTTTGAACTTAAACCTGAGATGGCAGAAGGAAAGTTTGAAGAGATTTTCTTGTGCTCAATTAAATTTAAGCATTAACACACACACACACACACACACACAAGTCTCAGCAAAACTTACTGTTGCATTTTTTCTGCTTCCTCAGCCTCAATTTCTGCAGTGCTTTTCACCATTGTGGGACGATGTCTCTGACGAGTCAGTAGCTGTGGTGTTTTGGGGTGTGTGATTTTTGGCTTCTCAGCCTTCACTGGTGATGGTCCTGCAAATAAAACACAGGCAAAATTAGTCAAAAGAAGCCTGGAGGGTAAATTACTCATCATATTTCAGAGGAAATAAAAATGAATGAAAATATAAAAATTTAATGGATCATGTATCCATCCCACTGAAAAAAAATCATACGGTTCCAGAACTACCCGAGGGTGAATAAATGTTTTAACAGCATCACACAAGAATGCAATCCTAACAACATTCAAGGCCACAAAGACACCAGAAACAGGGTCTGAGAGCAGACGCACCTCTTTCCTGGCTCTGCCGACTGCGCAGGTGATAGCGGGTGGGAGTGCGTTTCTGAAACTGCTCAATCTGCTGGGCCATCGGCACATAGGCTCCTGCTTCATCAAGTTTCCTCTTGCCTCTGGAGAGGTTGAAGGGTTTGGGAATGGTTGTTCCCTTTGGAGCCTTCAACTACAGAATGAGACAACATGCAAATCACTTGAAATCAACAAGCAGCTTCAAAAAGTATCCAACTACTCATCCCATATTTCAGATGAAATAAAAATGAATGAAAATATAAAAATTTAATGGATCATGTATCCATCCCACTGAAAAAAATCATACGGTTCCAGAACTACCCGAGGGTGAATAAATGTTTTAACAGCATCACACAAGAATGCAATCCTAACAACATTCAAGGCCACAAAGACACCAGAAACAGGGTCTGAGAGCAGACGCACCTCTTTCCTGGCTCTGCCGACTGCGCAGGTGATAGCGGGTGGGAGTGCGTTTCTGAAACTGCTCAATCTGCTGGGCCATCGGCACATAGGCTCCTGCTTCATCAAGTTTCCTCTTGCCTCTGGAGAGGTTGAAGGGTTTGGGAATGGTTGTTCCCTTTGGAGCCTTCAACTACAGAATGAGACAACATTCAAATCACTTGAAATCAACAAGCAGCTTCAAAAAGTATCCAACTACTCATCCTAGTGACTGTACTCACAGGGGAAGGTGGGTGCTTGCGGAGCTGAGAGGTGAAGTTCACCTCCTTGTACGAGTCGTCTTCTGCAGAGCCTCCATCCATGTGGTTCTTCAGCCTGCTATCCGAGCGGAAGTTGAACTCTTTGGGAATGGTGGTGGACAGCACATGCTTCTTAGGAAGCTGACCTTTAAAACAACACAAGAACAGCCAATTAAAAACATTAAAAAAAAAATGCAATGCTCTCATTAAAAATAGTAGATGGTTGCCAATGACTCACTGCCTGCCAGTGCAGCCCTGTAGCTGGCCTCATTCTTCCGACGCTGTTCTGCCACCTCTTTCTGCAGTGCCTCGATGCGTTCCAGCTCTTGCTGTTCGGTGCTTTTCTGCCTGAAATTCAAAGACAGCATATATAATTTAATTCTTTAATATTAAACCCTTCTGATAAGTTGAAGTTGAATCAACTGGCAAGACCCAAGGGGGAGCTCCAGTTCTTTACCAATATAAAAAAAAAAAAAAGACAGTCAAGAGTTCACCAGCAAAGGTTTGAAGTTGTATGATTTCATGTTTTGAAAAGTCTCTTATGCTGATTTTATAATTACAGTAAAACATTACTTTTGTGAAAAATTACTACAATTTAAAGACGTTGTTTTTATTTTAAATTGTAATTTATTCCTGGGATGGCACAGCTGAATTTTCAGATTTTCAGTGTCACATGTTTCCTTGAAAAAATTATTCTAATGTGTTGATTTTCTCAAGAAATATTTGTTATTATTCATGTTATTTATTAACATCATAGAAGTCTTTGCTGTTACTTCTGATCAATTCAATGCATCTCTGCTGATTTAAGACCATTTCTTTATAATAATAAAAAAAAAAAAAAAACACTACAACCCCACCACCGTAACCCAAATTTTGGACAGTAGTGTAGTTTGACTTTGCTGACTATTCAGACTAGGAATGCACCGATACCATACATTTTTTAAATATTGGGTACAGAAACTAAAAGGGCATGTATAATGTTAGTTGATTAACTTCATTTATCAAATAGATACAGTCAAACCAAAATGTATTCAGACACCTTCAACATTTCTCACATTATCACAGTTTATTCGCTATAGTTTAGAAAATGGTAATAAAATGACAAGAACTCAGAGTTAAACTGTGTCAGAACAAATTCATCTTGATAATGTTAGATAATTTTGATAGAAAGGTATGTAATAGATTACAATCAACCAAAAATAATTCAGACAACTGTTAGTATGACAGTATTTACACAACTATCAATACTTTGTCGGGTGACCCTTAGCCTCAATGACAGCCTGTAGTCTCCTGGGCATGCTGTCACCCAGCTTCATGCAAACCTGAACTTTTTTTTCCCCAGACTCGGTCTGAATAATTTTTGGACCCAAATTTGTATCAGTTTTACTGGTAGTCCACTGTATGAAGAATTTTTGGGTATGATTTGTCAGTTTACTTTATTTTGCTATCCTCACTTACATAAATGAACTATAGTGTCCTGCACTATATGATATTTTATATTTAATTATGACCATTAAAATGTATTTTACAAGTTTTTGTTACTTTCACTGTTTATTTTTTTGCTCTATGGTACATCATCTTTAATTTAATAGCATTAGAGCTGCTCCATTTCACTTAGTGCTCCATTTCACTTAGTGAACTTACTCCACTTAGTACTGTAATGACGCGCTTTGCTGTAATAATGCAGGGAACCACTCGTTATAAATCTCCTAACTGTGATATTTTCAGAAATAGAAGTCGCGTTTTCTTCATCTGAAACGTGCTGCGATTTATATTTCAAAGCCACGCGTATAATGCAGAAACACTCAAGCAAGCAAAACACGCGCAACGCGTGCAGGTATTTGTACTGATGCAGAATGAGAGGACAGTAGTACAGCCTAGTGCATTTCACACAGGCTGCTAGATTCACTTTCGCCAGAAAGTCGTGTATGCCTAAGGTTGAAAATAAATGATGTTTATAGTGAATGCCCCTATGAATCATATTATTTTTATGATTTTGTTTTAATCCAAATAATGCGTGTGCTCATTGAGTGAACATCAAAGATCACCCAACAGAAGTGCGCGCTCGCTCTCTCTCTCCCCACCGTTAAGTAACTTGTGCATTGTTTTACTTACTTGTTTTTGACGTATCCGACCGAACTACAAACTTTCCAGTGATGTCTGTGAGAAAGATATATTCAATCGACAAGCTCGCGCATCTGCACCGTCGCGCTCAATCCACTCAGCCGCTTTGTTTATCAGCTCGCGCACATCAGCTATACAGGCGTTAATACTGAATGTTTAACATTATATTCATTGCATACATATACTTCGTAGTAGACATCCTTAACTCCTTTCTGCGTTTCTTTGTTTGAATATGGCGCTTATCACATGCTGTGTGGTATCGGCGTTTGGTATCGGGGCATTTGGCATTTGGATATCGGTATCGGTGCATCCCCAATTCAGACTAATAAAAGTTTCACTTACTGTGTAGTGTTGGAGGCAAAGGCAGTATCTGAGGTCTTTGAGGCAATGGCTGGTTTGCTTCTCAGCCGGACACTGCTCCTCGCACCAGCACCACTGCGTCGCACAGTTCTAGATGTTGAGCTTCTGTGAGGAGATAAACCAAAATTTTATTATAAAAACCATACAATATTCTTAATTTTTGAGTAACATCCCACATTTCAAGTAGGGTTGGGTACCATTCACATTTTAACCAGTACGGTACCGGTACATGATTTTCGGTGCTGGTACCCAACGGTACCTTTTTTTCGGTACTTTACTGTGTAATTACAAAAACATTTCAGTGAAAAAATAAGTACGAAAGTCTCAATTTCAACATTTTGAACAATAGGGCTCTACAATTTTCTTTCCCCCCGGCAAGCGGAAATGCAGGATTCATATTTAAACCACCTTTTTGCATTTTAATATTCACAGACACTAGTTCATATCATGATTCGAATTAAGTGGCAACTTTTGATTTATTAGTCCAAAACTGACGAATTCCGTGGCATTCCACGCTATTGAGTAAATTACGTTTTTATGAATGGATTGGACTCCACGATCCCATCCACGTTTTTGCAGAAACCATGATCCCATCCACGTTTTTGCAGAAACCATATGGCCCTAGAAATGTAACCACACTTCAGAACATTTCGGCTTGCCCTGTGTGTTGTTTGAACGGGTTGCAGGGGTGACATCACGTCACAGGGTCTCTCTCTCGCTGTAGCGTATGTGCCCAGATACGTTCTCAGGTACCGAAATTTGGCACCGATTGATTTAACGTGAATCGGTACTTGGTAGTACCGACGCAATTCGGTCGGTACCCTTAAAAGTACCGAGTTCGGTACCCAACCCTAATTACAAGCCACTTCACCAGTGAAGTCTCCTAAATGCCCACTAGGTGCCCTCCACAGCTTAGTAAACATTTCTCAGTTCATTTTACCTTCACCGCTGATCAAAAACTCTCCTTACTGTGGTAGCAGGTACAACTCTATGCATCGAGACAAAGTGGCTAATTGAGCACCCCGTAATAGACTAAAAACGGATCTAAATTTAGAAGCACATACCTTCTTTTCTTGACAAGAGGGGGTGTTGTAGGCTTTTCGTTTCTAGGCACAGGCCGTTTGGACACTCTGCAGGAAGAAACAAAACAGTTAACCGATGTAAGAAGAGCGTAACAAAAATGGACTGTTTAATAGGGTGTATAAAAATAACGAATAAGGTCTCATTTACCTGCGTGGTTGAGCAGGAACAGATTTCTGGCCCTGACCAGGAGCAGCTGCAGTTTTGACGTTCCCCCATGATGCGACTATGTTAGATGGGACCTCTGTACAGGTGCTTTCTTTGACATCTGAAGCAGAGCAGATATTAAGAACACACGTGCAAAACAAACATCACTGAAGTTGTTCCTAAGAGTTTTCTAATTGAAGCAGTTTTCCCCCAACCTGAGCTTGTCATCTCATCTTGTTTGACCAGGGGAGACACCACAGCGTTGGGTCTGTTGGTATTGGGGATTTCATCAAATGGCTTTGCGGTCCGTAAAGGGGTGGTGAGCTGTTCCACAGTGCCACTTTTAGGAGTTGCCTTCAACTCTAATAGTAAAACAGAACAATGATAGTTGATAATCCTGTGGCTCAGTGGTAGAGCATTGCGTTAGCAGCGCAAAAGGTCGTGGGTTCAATTCCCAGGGAACCCAATACTGGTAAAAAATGTATAGCCTGAATGCACTAAGTCACTTTGCATCTGCTAAATGCATAAAGTATTAATATACACATACATATGTATATACACACGCATACGAATATTTTTTATACATAAATGTATATAAAATAAAAACATAAAAATAAGTATATTATAAGCATAAAGAGTAAAAAGCCTTACCAAACCACTGGTCAGCATTATCCTGAGGGTCCAGGGCAAAATCATCTATAGACTCCATAACATGAGAAGGGGCATCCCATCTGTATGCATCAGCAGAGTCCCCTTCCATATTCACACAGAAAACTTCTGCAAAATCAAAAAAGAAAAAGGCTTTAAAGAGGAATCTGTAACAATGCTGTAATAGTAAAGCAGAAAATTACATTAACTGCGCAGTGCGGCGCAAAATGGCAGCTATTGGCTAGTCTTAGACTCAAGGCCCAAACTGCAATAAAATGCCCAAAATGCTCGATTTATCCAACAATTATGGATTATACGATTAATTTACGTATAGTGTACCAATATTCTAAAATAACTTAATTTCAGACCGATCACTTCAGAATCAGTTCATATGAAATATTCGCCTACATCTCTCATTCCTCATAATTACGAACAAAATGTAAACAAACGAAACCTAAATAACATCTTCACATAATTTAAGATCACAATAATAAATTGAGCAAAAAAACAAACGTTGAAATCTGTCGGTCTATTAACGTTGCATTGAACATTAAAAGTTTGTCTTGCAACGATTAACGTTAACTGTTACGGCCCAATACACACACACCAATTAAAGCTTAATTTAAACGCAGCAGTCAAAGTCAAAATATGATATTGCTTAAAAATGTGTAAACCCCATACTTACGCTTCCAACCAATGCCTCCTACCACAACCTGAAAGGCTGAAAAAAGACAGCAAAATGTTTAATCAGCAGACGCTCGTACCCTCCTGCCACAAAACAACCCGACGCGAACGCTAGTAGTTTGAATGTTGGTGCCGTTAGAACTGCGTTTACGAATCAGCCAATCAGAGGGCTCAACGCGGCGCGTCTCGTTTCCTATTAGCTCTGCGTTTGTGACGCATTAACCACGTGATTAGCTGAACGCACAAGAAGCATAACAGCAGGACATTTAAAAACTGACTGAAGTTAGTTTAAATAAATAAATTATTCTACTGTTTTACAAAGCGATCTTTTTTTGATCAGTTATCATCATATTATATTTTCATACAATAATCTTAACCCGTTCAATTCCAAATTTTTCCCAGACATGAAAATTAACCAAATGATGTGTCATACTCATTAGTAACCCGTTGAAATAATCAATAATATTTTTTTTTTGAAAAGTGTGAAAATTTGTATTTTAAATATGTTAGTTTATTGTAACATACTGTATATCATAAAATTGTTATATTAGTGCTACCAGTATTACAACATCAATATTGTAACATTTGAACTTTTACTTTAGTGCAATATTCACTGTAACTTTGTCATTGCAACATTTTAGTGCAGCCTTCACTAACACATGCAATTGGATGTGTGTATACCTAAATGCACTGTTATACCACCGGTCACAATTGTTACCATCAACATGTTTCCTCATTCTATGACCACACTCAACAAAACTGAATAACTGTGAACTCATATAGTAATGCTAGACACCTTAAAGATCAAAAATCTTTGTCATTTCTTTATGTTAAGATACTTTACTAGTCTTTTGTTTTGGCGCTTTGATGCAGCCATCATCTTCTCATGGCGCAAACATGAAATAAACTACTATGGACATGTAACAAATGTGACACTGCACATATTTAATTGACCCTTTATTGTTTTCCATATTAGCAGGAAATTCACTAAAACACCAGTCAGTAACATTTTTAGAGCTTTATAAATGAAAACCTTCTTACGGGCACTATTGTGACCACTGGTATTAAATGGATTAATTCTCAATATTCTTTAAATTAATTAATTCATGAAAAAAAATCCTTTTCATTAAAAACAAATTCATACTAGAATCATACTAGGATTCCAGCTTTAATGTCATCAGTGCAAATTAATTATCAAAACAGTGAATGTGGATAGAGAATAATGAATGTCAAAATACTAACACAATACAGTACAATAAGGCTTGACATTTGCATGTCAAAACACTTTTAATGCCAGTAGTTTGCAAGCTAATGCAAATAAAAAACAATCATAGTGACAATAAAATGGGCAAGGCAATAAAAAAATGACAAGGCAGTAAAACTAAGATGCACATGTTGAGCAATACGCTCCTGTGTAGTGAACTACATCTTCTGGATCATCACCTGGAATTTACCTAAGAAGAACGAAAGTGCAGAAGAGGAGGGATGACAGGAGACAAGAAACAAAAAAATAGTTACATTTAACATTTAATTAGAACTTGATGAGCTCAGACTCAAGAGAACTAACTTCACTGATGCTCAATTTCAGATTAAGATCACGAAAAAAAGTACAGAAAATCTAGTGGTTATTTTGTATACTTTGTGGCATAAAATGTGCTCCTTACAGGCAGGCATGACTGACACTTCCGCCGTGACTATACTTTTCACACCAAGGTTTGAAAGTGCTCCTCGGACCAGTCCACATGTGAAGGCTAAAAACTGCAGGAATGAAAAAATGAGAGAGAATTTAGTTTTACGATCCCTTTATGAAGCATCAAACTGGTAGTTGTGTAGACTGTCAATGGAGGGACAGAAATCTCTCAGATTTAATAAAAAATATCTTCATTTGTGTTCTGAAGATGAACAAAAGTCTTATGGGTTTGGAACGACATGAGGGTGAGTAAATGATGATAAAATTGTCATTTTTGGGTGACTACCGCTTTAATTGCATTCTTTTATATTTTATTAAATATTATATATTCCTTCTTCCTCATCTGTAGATATAATATTCTTGTAAACAAATTGAATTACTACATATCTCATTATGCTATTTTCAAGGAAAAATAAATGACAAGATAAAAGATGCTTTATGTTTTTATTCAACGCACAATTAAAGCTGTTAATGATGCTTACCTTTGGCGCATGTTCCAAATACTGTTTTCCAGCAGACAGTTGGGTCAGCTGGTGGAACTTGTTATCTTGTAGCACATAAATACCCTACAAACAATTTGAACATGTGATGCTTTTCTAAATAAGCACCTCTAGTCAATGAAGAGATTCACTAAGATGTATGAGTTAAGATGCCATAAAGCTTAAAGTAACATTATAATGTACACACCTGGTGGTTTGTTCTCAGGTTGTCAATCTGCTTCTTAAAAACACTGGTCCAGAAATCTTTGCAGATAAACTTCATAACATCAAGCTCATCTTTGAAACGTGGTGTGTCTTTGGTAAACCTGCAAACAGAAATATGCCTGCTGAGACAAGAACAAATGGCTAATTATTTCTACTACTAATTAAATTGTCTTTTACATTTTTTAGTAAAATAATTAAAAACCATTTAAAGTTCAATTTGGATTTTCCACGGACAATCTGCAGAACCACAAATAAAACTGCAACATCAGATTATAGGATGTCAGCAGAGGATCTCCTTGACTAAAGAATAACATTTGGATTTATGGATGAAAAGATCCGCCATGATACCTCTCAGTAAGTCCTTGTCCCACACGAAACCCCATGCTCTCAAGTTTAGAGACACATCGTCCATTCTCCTGTGCACAGCAGTACACGACATTAATTCAACATGCCATATTCTCACTATTTGTTTTATTAGTGTGCTTGGCTAACTTAGCTCTATACGCTATTCTACTATTCTGTGACAGACAGTGTTTTCAGTATATCTCCGGCTCTTACCGATTCCCCAGATTCTGCACTGTTGACATATTGAATAATTTCACTGTGCAGGAACTGAAAGAGAGCCTCGTCCGCCATCTCGAACCAGACTGAAACTGACAAGCGACCCAAACTGACTATGGGAATAAATCAGTTACTACTTTAGTAAATGGACACTACTCATTGTGCGAATAATCAACTAAATTCCAATATTTCGCCAGTTCCCTAATTATTAATAGGGTCCTTCTTCACAACCGTTCCACTTCCTGTTTGGCTGAGAATTAGCTGCCCTTGTATATGCCTGAACGTGAAATGTTTTTCTCTCGTTTTGTTTGGAAAGAGATTTCCGTCTTGTTTTGTATGTAAAGTGGAAATAAAGTAGGGAAAAGTGGCGCAGTCATGAACACCCGATTGACTTTTATAACCTATAATGCCTGTTGTAGCTAAACTGGTTTACAATTATTAATACGCGAAACCTTTTTGTCTTAATACTATAAATCACAACATTAACGTCTTTGTAAAGTATATGATTGTATTTTGTAAATAAAATGATACACTTGGTTCAGTTTATAAAACTATTACAACAATTAAATATTTAATAAAATTATAGAAACACCTGTAAATGAATGTTTGTATTTACATTACACGGTTACTGGTCTCAATTTTTTTTGTATTTATCTTTTATATTTTATAATTATAGTCTATAACTTTTAATTCATTAAGTACTTAACATCTTCATGATTTTCAGTAGCCTATTGCATTAATATGAATGAATAACTTACATTTTAATGGCCTTGCCAAAAACAAACCATCATCGTTTTACTGACAGTAAATGATGAATGAAACAAGAATCTCAAATTCTACAAGATGCTTTATTTCTTAATTCTTCCTTAACATTGTTTCTTTCTGAATACACCTTAATCTCTCTCACCCTTGCTTTCAGAATGTTTATGAAAACAAACAATCCTTGGAACCCAAAAATTCCAATGCTTGGAATTTTAAAGATGTAAAACACCAATGAAACTTTACATTTCATACTAAAGGTACAGTACAGCTGTGCACAGTGTGCACCTCACTGAGGTAGATCAGTCTGAGTCTAAACATCACAGTTGAGTTGAGGTCCATTTCATTTCAGTTCAGCCAAAGGAGGAAATGCCCACGACGGTTTCTAAATAAAATGAAACTCATGAAATTAATTCACATCTTCAGCTGGCCTAAACAAAATGGAGTTGACAACATATGCCATCACAGTTACCTTATAGGCCACTGGTGCATGTAACACCGAGTCAAAAGTATAGACTAAAATACCGTTCAAATTTACATGATAAAACATTTTCTTTTCTGACAGTGCTCCTGGCTTAGCATGGAGAGATACTTGAAGTGCTTTTCCAGCAATGACAGGGTATGTGCTAAGCTTATTTTGTCCGATACTCATGAATCCAGGCAAAACATTGAGGGAAACTTTGTAGTGTGAGAACTATGTAAAACCAGTACAACCATTTTTTCCCCCCAAGATTCTTTTTACATCATTATGCAGGGCACAAATATGACCAATTCTTGTTTATTGCTAAACGAAAAATTAAAGTTATATTTTATTTAGTTCCCATATTTGGGAATTTGTCAGGATGGGCTACTTCATTTTAAACAAATGTTCACTTTTCATTATGATTTTCAATTCCAGAATAATCAACGCTTTATTCTGCGTTTCATTCACAAAATACTCTGGAATGAACAGAGAGAGATGGGGATTTACAGGAGAAGAGTCTACACAATAACTGTGACTCCTTTCAGAAACATTGAGGATGTGAACACAACAGCGCATAAAAACTTTTACCTAAAGGCTAAAATCAACACAAGCTAATTAATTAAATGCTAATTAATCACCTGACTCATAACTAAAACCATTGAGCATTCTTAAAAAAAGAAAAAGAAAAAGAAAATCAAATGAGATAACATTCTTCATGCAATTTGCGTGAGTATTTGCTTCATTTCTTGTCAAATGGTTGAATCCTATTCGTGACAAGAGTTAGAGAGGTAGGTTTTTTTGTGTTGTGTGACCGTGAGCTGAGAGGTACATCTAAGACCACAGTTCAACTTGACTTTTATGGTGCGGTCACAGAGAATTTTCTGTGAAATTTCATGGACAAAAAAAAGGTAAATAGTGTAGATGTATGAAGCAAAGCACACACATAAGTCACTTTCAAAACGGTCAACGTGGCAAATTTGCATGACCAACTGACTCTTCTTTCATCCGGATGCAAAACTCCCATGTCGAATCCTATTGAAATGACTGGAATTTGCAGAAAAAATTTGCAGATCAATAATAAATGTGACCGCACCTTTAGTCTTAGAAGTGCCGTTGATAAAAAGTGCTTCATTATACAACGGAGAACACTGTAATAGCATTATTTTCCTTCTTGACAAAAATAGAGGTATTTCTTTTGCTAACTTCTCAGTTTAATTTTTTTTAAATGAATTTGATAAGTCTATTTATCACTACAAAACACTCTGAAGACCCTCTAGGAAAAACCACAAAGTTAAAACTATTCTAAAAGCAAAACTCCATCTTATCCTAGTGATCCTTTTGTCTAATTTTACAGGATCCATTCGAAGACCTCGCACCCACCTAACTTCACCGTCTCCAGTTCATTACCTATAAGCTACTTGGCAATGACGCAACAGAATTGTTGCGTTTGACTGGCAGGTCATAGTGGACTTGGGCGACGTCATTGCTGGAAGGCCTGATGGAATCGAGGTAGAGTTGGAGAGAAACCAGAGAGCTGGTTTAAGTGCCCTGAAGCCTGAGGCTCATGCAGTGACTGTGGCTGAAATGAGGAAAGCGGCCCAGAGATCTGAGAGGTAGGGCTTGGGGACGCAGTGGTGATGGTGGTGGTGGAGTATCCCAAGGGAGTGCTGTAGGGAGGCAGGCTGAACGGCAGGAAGCCCAACAGGTGCGAGAGGTCCATGTTGGCGGAGGTGGTAGGCGGCTCGGCTGAGGTGAACGCTGAGTTCCTTAGGGTGAAATGGGCACTCTGACCTCCCAGAGTGTCAGGGAGAAGGTCGCCAGGCCTGGAGATGGCAGTTGCCACGGCGGCCTGCGGTGGCATTGGCCCGCACTGGAGTTCGGCCAGGAAGTTCTCCATCTCCGCTTTCAGATATGAGGTAGTGGAACTCGGCTGATATCTGTGAGCCTGCTGGTACTGCTGCAGAGGAGGCTTGTTTGGATCAAGGTAGCAGCCCACACCCATCGGGCTGGACAGGGGGCCAGACACCATTGTGTGATGGTGATGATTGACCCCTGAGGTAGATGCGCTCGGAAGGCCTTGAGGGTTGAACATGGCCATGGAAAACGCCTCTGTGGCATCTTTCGGAGATCCGACGGAGCACACAGTGGGACTGGGCTCCTCCTTAATGGGAATCGGAGGAAGGGTCTCCAAATCTTGCGTGTGGCTTTTCTTCAGGTGTCGGGTGAGGTGGTCGCGACGGCCAAAGCGCTGGGCGCAACGTGGGCACAGGAAGTCCCGTCTACCGGTGTGCACCACTGCGTGGCGCCTCACATCCTTGCGAGTGAAGAAGCGCCGGCCGCACCGTTCACACTGATGCTTCCTTTCCCGTACCACAGTCCCCGGAGGAGGCCGGCCGGTGTGCGTACTCAAGTGCTCAAGTAGCGCCGGCATGCTCTCGAACGCCTGATGACAGACCTTACAGGTGAGGTCACCGCCGGCGGAGGTGGCATGTGTGGCCACGTGGCGTCTAAGACCCAGACGAGTGTTGTAATGCTTTCCACATTCCTCGCACCGTAGTTCCTGCTTGTTGGGGTCGTGGTTTTGCAGGTGGCTGTTTAGCTGGTCTTTGCCATGGAACATTTTCTCACATATATGGGTAGTTTTCAGGGAGTATGTCCCTGTACATCTGTGAAAGGCCAACGATCAGTGATGATGATGATTCAAGGTTAGAAATTGAGTACAATCATAGTCCCGTTGTTTTAGAGCAGGGGTGCTCAATCCTGGTCCCGGATATCTACCTACCTGCAAAGTTTAGCTCCAACCCTAATCAGGCACACTTGATAATTATAAACAGGTGTGTTGGAGCAGGGCTGGAACTGAACTTTGCAGGAAGGTAGATCTCCAGAAACAGGATTGGGCACCCGTTTTAAAGAAAAAAGCAAGTACCTGACAAGAAGCTCCTACAGGTGATTTTTTCTTGGGAGTGAAGATTGTTATTTTGCATGTTCAGACTTCTGCACAGAAACAAAAAGGTGATGATTTGATCATTTAATTTACAGTGTCTATACCACAGTAATAATAGTAAATTATGCATAGTTACACACAACTAACCCTAAACGAAACCTTAAATCTAACCCTATAGTAAGTACATGTTGTTAATTAATATTACTCAGTACTTATTTGTATAATTACACTGCAATGACACCTTAAAACAAAGTGTTACAGATGATTTCCCCCCTTAAGGTTCTATTCTCTAAATGTGTATCTAACATAATAAAGCCACAATGGATTTGTGTATTTCATTAAAAGGATTGTTCACCCAAAAAATTGTCATTTACTTATCCTGTCCCGTTCTTCCAAACCTGTATGACTTCTTTCTTCTGTGGAACGCAAAAGAAAATATTTCGCGATTTAAAGTTAATGGTGACCAAAAAAGTTTGATTACCAACATTCTTCAAATATCTTCTTTTAATGAAACTCTATGAGGGTTTCAAACATCTGAACACCAATGTAAACAGTCCACGCGGTCCTAAATTCACACTATAACATTTGCATAAAAACAGTGTTGTGCTCACCAGAAACTTTTGGTCCCCGCTAAAGTCGCATTTCACACGCATTCATCCATCCTACACCTCACAAGGGTGCAGATAAAAAAATTTTAAAAAGTCGTTTCCCAGCCATAACTCGATGAACTCTCAAAAACGGTTCGCAGTGGATACTTGATTGTTTGTTCAATACTGAGGGAGTTTTCGGGCCCGCTGTTTCTGTCCCTCTAAACACTGATGGGCGCGTGCATTGTGGGAACGTGACGTCACACCACTTCGGCCAACTTTTATGGTGACTTATTTTTCACCGTTTAAACGATCATAAAACCTCACATTGCAGTATCACAGTGAGTTCTATAAGCAGAAACAAATGTAAATGACGCGGAACGGCAGTTTGCAAAAAATTATGAATTATTTCAGCTCACTAGTGAAGGAAAAAGTAATTTTTCTTACCGAAACTCTATGAGGGTTTCAAACATCTGAACACCAATGTAAACAGTCCACGCGGTCCTAAATTCACACTATAACATTTGCATAAAAACAGTGTTGTGCTCACCAGAAACTTTTGGTCCCCGCTAAAGTCGCATTTCACACGCATTCATCCATCCTACACCTCACAAGGGTGCAGATAATTTTTTTTTAAAAAGTCGTTTCCCAGCCATAACTCGATGAACTCTCAAAAACGGTTCGCAGTGGATACTTGATTGTTTGTTCAATACTGAGGGAGTTTTCGGGCCCGCTGTTTCTGTCCCTCTAAACACTGATGGCGCGTGCATTGTGGGAACGTGACGTCACACCACTTCGGCCAACTTTTATGGTGACTTATTTTTCACCGTTTAAACGATCATAAAACCTCACATTGCAGTATCACAGTGTTTCTATAAGCAGAAACAAATGTAAATGACGCGGAACGGCAGTTTGCAAAAATTATGAATTATTTCAGCTCACTAGTGAAGGAAAAAGTAATTTTTCTTACAATTAACTTACATCTTTTAGAATTCTATCATGAATAATACTGTATCTGAGAAGATACAATTAATATATCATCATTCAGCTTGTTTACAACGCCCGGTTTGTTGCACGAGCATGTTGCCAATGAAACCTGCTATGCGAGAACGCACATGACAAAGCAGCAGAAACTTTCTTCCCTTTTGAGGTCATTATGCATTGTTTGGAGAAAACGTTTAGTACAATTTCGTTTTTACTTTGAGTATATGTAACGAGTAATGCTTCTCTATTGTTTGCATTTCCCAATGGAACGTTATAATTGCACGTGCAACAATTACATCCGGGAAAGTCGTGAGAAACTGAATGTAACTTAACGAAGAGCAGTCAGAACAAGTAACATTATTTGACTATAAAGATTCTTGAAATTGTTATATTATTACCGTCGGTAACTGCTCATTGAAGAAGCTCAGTAAGTGTAAATTATTTATTTATAAGAATTATGATAGAACCTAAAATAATACATAGAAATATCCAAGTATTATATATTATAATATTACTTTAAACACATGCATATATTAACATATTATAGGCTAGTGTATATTTAAATTCAGAAGTTGGATAATGAAAATTAACCAATTTAAAATTGTTTTAGAATACTTCTACAAAATAGTGCTGAAATTATTATCATTGTTGTTAATTACTTTTTGGATATTAGATTTAATTATGAATTCAATTCATATGTACATTTTGCAAGTATTTTAATTTAACAAAATAAAACAAAGCCGTCATTTTTGCAGTGCAAAAGAATGCCATTAAAACTCTCTCTCTATGTATATATATTTTCAGTTATTCTTGCATTTAATGCAATAGAATTTTAAAGCAAGGTTACAGTAAATGCATATTGTTGTCTTTCAAATCTAATATATGCATTCCTCACATCTAGTTTTCACCCTGTTATAAAATTACTAACAACAATAAACCCAATACCTGTGAGAAGGTAGAAGGTTCTTAATTGTCCTTAAAAGGAAAATGTTAAAACAGAAAAGTTAGGATGGGGGGGGCAATTTCCTTGCTCAGCAAACAGTAGTTTGCTGAAAGGTTCAATATAAAATAAGACAGATACACAATATACAATGCAGAGTTGAAATTGTACTAAATATTGTGCTGTAATGTGGTGCTGTAAATTGTTTGTTGGCATTATATGGAAAAGTACAGACTAGGAAAATAAATGTTGCGAGCTGCACATACTGTAATAAACTGAATAAATATATATTTTGTATATGCTTTATATATATGCATATGCAGAGTTATAATTGCTGGTAAGGAATAGATTAGGCATGCATTGTTTAATCAGTAGTACAGAAATAATACATCATTGTTGTCAAGTCAAGAGTGTCAAGGGCTAAAAATATTTCCAGCACTTACAGCTCCAGACGAGAGACATGTCCATTCTAAAAAGTTTACCAATAATAAATTATTACTAAAACAACCGTTTTTCAGAGAAATCTGTATGAGCAACATCGTCAGTTATAAAGCATGAACCTAAAATGTTCATGTTTTACACATGAATTCAAAATTCAGATCATTTTGTTTATAAATCCTCAGACCAGTTTTACTGTTTCTTTGGAGAATAACCAAATCAAGAGAATGATTCAGAGAATGATTGTGAGTAAATATGCCATACAGAAGAGTAGCTTCTGATCCAGCTAATGAAGTATTTTAAATCAGAGCATAACTTGAAAATGTATATGAATTACATATATTGCCATGGCTTTTTATTCTTTTTTTTAATTAAATGCATGCTATCCTGTTTTTATGTGTTCTTATAGAATATCATTTTATTGTTTTGGCATAACTTAGATAAACAGATTGAAATTTCTTTTTACTTTGAGACTACATTAGCCCTCAGTTTTTTTTATAATGGTTTCTTTAATGCAATTGAAGTTGCTGAAAAAATCCACAGTTGAAACGAGCTTTGAAATAGACTCAAAGATTAATCAGAAGTTTTTATTCAGCTGCCACATAATGAAAGTGTACATCATAGTTACACAATAGAAAATAACACAGTAAACCCATTGACTGCTTAATTCATATACTGTGTGCAGTAATTCACATTCTGCATAAGGTGCAGTTTTTGACACAATATAAATACCTTGGTGAAAAAAGCCACCGCGGAGTCAAACACAAGAAACAAAAAAAAAACACTTGGTTAATGATTTTTGAATCAGGTCTCAGTCCTGAAAACAGATTTCCCACCCTTGTTCCTTATGCATATTCTTCTTAATACCACATACAGGCTACACAATACAGTGGAGAAAACCCTGACATGATGAAATGTTTTAACATTTCCTTTGATTCCAACAGTTTTTAATAACAAAACAAACATTTCTAACAGTATAACAAGCCTCATTTCAGATTTGCCATCTAATGATAATGAAATATACTCATTAAGAGGTGTAATTTGGCTCAAGAGATGTTAAAGGAGAACTGAAAGAAATAACTGGTGAAATGCTGGCATCTGTTTGGCAGGAATATAACCAACATGGGTCTAATCATAAACCCATCACAGAGGGAAACACAGCTGTACCTGCAAAGGGGAAAAGAGCATCAGAAGTTCATCAAACAACATTTGTTAAAATTGTAGACGCAAAAAAAAAAAAAATTATGAAAGCAAGATTTTTTTTAAATAATGGGCACATGCTTTGTTATGTGGTTAAATTGAAATATTTCAGTTTTTGCAATTAACACTTTGTAGAGATAGACAATTCTACTTTTCAGGATGATTAACTGGCCAATATTTGGCCTTCTTGGGCGAATAGGAATAGCTCACCTAAAAATGTAAATGTGCTAAAAAGTTACTCATTCTCGGGGCATCAAAGATGTAGATCTGTATGTTTCTTCATTGGAAATTGATTTGGAGAAATGTAGTATTACATCACTTGCTCACCAATGGATCCTCTGCGAATGGGTGCCGTCAGAATGAGAGTCCGAACAGCTGATAAAAACATCACAATAATCCACACGACTGATTCCATGAATTAACATGTTGTGAAGTGAAAAGTTGCATGTTTGTAAGAAACAAATCCATCAGTAAGTTGTTTTAACTTTAAACCGTTGTTTCTGGCCAAAATATGAGTCCATAATAAAAGTCCATCCCCTGTTGTCCTCTCACATTACACAGAATATTTGTTTAGAACGGATTTGGAATGTTTTTGCTTGTAAAAACGGTTTGATCTGTGCATATTTCTCCCTTGATTCAGGTAAGATTACTTTTTTCACTGGAGACAGCAATATTATGTATAGAGGACTCATATTTTAGCCGGACGCAACAGTCAGAAGTTAAATAAATATTTGTTTCTTACAAACACACAGCTTTTCACTTCACAAGACGTTAATTGCTGGACTGGAGTCGTGTGGATCACTTGTGGATTATTGTGATGTTTTTATCAGCTGTTTGAACTCTCATTCTGACGGCACCCATTCACTGCAGAGGATCCAGCAAGTGATGTAATGCTAAATTTCTCCAAACCTGTTCTGATGAAGAAACAAACTCATCTACATCTTGGATGGCCTGAGGGTGAGTACATTTTCAGCCAATCTTCATTTTTGTGTGAACTACTCCTTTAACAGAAGGGTTACCTCCTCATTGTGTGCGTTTTATTGTATTATATAAACACAGTATATTAGCATTAAAATAATTCACAGGACATTGGTATCTGCATTTGACAAACCCATATCAGTCAACTGTGAAAGTGTTGCAAAACATTTTTTCTAAACTGTTTAACAGCCTGTAAAATTATTGTACTGATGTACTTATTTAATACCTGTTATATATAGACATAAGCACTAATATATATTATTATGAAATAATCTCACTTCCATGTCAGTGATTCGTACTTTTTGGGCTACCTTGACCATCTGCAGAGTCAATGTCTGGAACCTTCCAGTCTAGTTTGCGTCCTTTCTCATAGAGAGCCTTGAGAACCTTCCGGAACTCTTCTTGTCCACCGTTATGACTCAGCTCCACGTACTTCCTGTACAACTGTAGGGCAGTCCGTGCATCTTCGATACTATCATGAGTTTCGCTCTGAATGTTCAGATCTAAACAAATGTTCAAAAAGCAAAAAACACTGATTCACAGAAAATGACATATGAGGTCAGGAGATAAGGGAAAGTTTATGCAAGAAACCTACCGAGAAAGTACCACGCGAGGAAACGTAGAGAGATCATTCGTTTCCTAGGCATGTGGAAGAGGTAGACGGTGTCAATCACCTGTTCTTTTGGAACCTAAA